CTGATTCCTTTTAATTAAATTCAATAGGCATTAATTAAGCACCTATTATGTGCAGTGAAGATCATCCGCTGGTCCTCTTTGACAGTTACCAAGGATGCTGAGAGGTTAAGGGACTAGACCAGGGTCACACAGTCCAAATATATTAGCGGTAGAACTGAATCCCAGGTTTTCCTGAGTTTGAGACCAGTTCTCTATCCACTAGGGCTGGTAATAGGCTCTGGACTCTATTTTTGTTATTCCTTGTCTAGATGAGTTTGGTTGAGTTCTGAGCACCATAGTGTAAGGATGCTGCTTGGCTGCAGAATGTCCCGAGAGGCAAAACCAGGATAGTGAGGGGTCACGGTTCCATGATGTTTGAGGATGGACTGAAGGAAGTGGGACTGATTAACCTGGAGAAATAAAGACCCAGGAGGGAACCTGGCAGCTTCAAGGAGGGATTAGCCTTCTTCTCCTTGGTCCCAAAGGGTAGAACCAGGAAAAATTGGTGGTTATTGATATTATATTGATATATAACAATAAGGGGCAACTAGGTAGCATGGTGGATAGAGCACCAAGCCAGCAGTCAGGAAGACCTGAGTTCTGATCCAGTCTCAGACACGTAGTAGCTGTGTGACCCTGGGCAAGTCACTTAACACTGCTTGCCTCAGTTTCCTCATCTCTAAAATGAGCTGGAGAAGGAAATGACAAACTACACCAGTATCTTTGCCAAGAAAACCTTAAAAATGTCACAAAGAGTCAGACATGACTGAACAACAAAGGTCACAATGAGAGCTGTCCAAGGTAGAAGACGCTGCCTCTGGAGGTGGAAGGCTCCTGGTCCTTGTGGGATTTCTTTGGTGTCTGGGTTGGATCAGATTGCTGAGGTCTCTTCCATCAACATATTCTGTGACCCGTCACAAAAAATGAGGAAACTGAGGCCCTGAGAAGGTAAGAGACTTGCCCAGGCTGACATATGGAGTAAGAAGTTGAGCCAGGATTGGAACTCAAGTTCTCTTACTCCAAATCTAATGCTCTTTCCTTTGGATCAACTGGCCAAGACTCCTCCTCCTATGGTCAGACCCAGACTGCACCATCCAATTCATAAAATGAGAGAATTTGAGTTTGAAAGGACCCCTAGTCTAACTTATGCCTGACAGAGGAAGCTAAGAAGAGCAATGGATAGGGTTCTAGGCCTAGAGTCAGGGAGGCTGGAGTTCAAATCCAGTCTCAGATACCAACTGTGTGACCCTGGGCATGTCACTTAACCTCTGTTTGCCTCAGGTTCCCCATCTGTAAAATGGGGGAAATAATAGCACCTACTTCCCAGGAGTGTTGTGAGGACCAAATGGGATAATATTTGTAAACTGCTGACACATAGTAGGCTCTTTATAAATGCTAGTTATTATTACTATTGTAGAGGCAATGCTTAGCACAGAGCCTGAAACATAGTAGCTGTTACTTATCATCATTATTAATTACTAAAAAGAATGCCTACTAAAATGTATCTAATAAGCATTTATAGAGGTAGGTAGGTGGGGATTAAAATTGTCCAACCTACAATAAAAGAGACTGAAGCAGAGCTCTGAGCCAATGGCACTTTATTAAAGGGTCCATGGTGCACTCTAATGAAATGGACCTCAGATCTTCCTCATGATTTGAAATGGCCCATTCTTCCAGGACCTTGTTTTTAGAGAGTTTACAAATATGCAAAGGAGGCATGGTGAAATGCAGAATCTCATTGGTTGATAGACCTGGCTCTTGAGGGCCAAAAATGACCTATTAGTGAGGGGGAGGGGGATGACGAGGACAGTCACAGGTTGGGTGAAGCGGGGGCATCTCCGCTGACTAAGTGGTCATTAGATGGTCACCACTTGCTTTAGAAAAGAAAGAATGGTCCAGAGGTAGGAAAAGAAACTGGGGGACTTCCCAAGGCATCCCACCCATGCTGGGTTTGGATGTGGAATTTGAGTAAAACAAGATGGAGATATCTTTGTCAGCATTCTTGTGGTTGCACAAGCGAGCCTTATAACTTGGTAAACAAGTAGTGAACATGACATTAAAGTTTGAGGCCCACTATAAGAACCTATCTACCCCTATATGATTTATGTAGAATATCAAACTGATTAATATTTATTGGAATAGAGTAGGGGTCCAAATGAATTAATCCCCAATTCAATATGTCCAAAACAGAAAGCATTATCTTTCCCCCCAACTCACCCTTCTTCCAGACTCCCCTGTTTGTATTGAGGGCACCACCATCTTTCCTGGCAGCCAATTTCCCAAACCTCAGGGTCATCCTCACCATTCACCCCACACATGTGACCGTTGGCCAAACCTTGACTATTCTATCTACACCCCACCCCAAGCATCTGTCTCTTTCTCTTCACTCATGTAGCCTCCACCCTAGCTTCTGCTTCTCTCACCTCTGACCTGATAATCACAGCAGCCTCCTCATTGCTCTCTGTACTTTGGACCTCACTTCACACCCTCCACACAGTTGCCAAAATTATTTTCCTAAAGGGTAGATCGGACCATATCACTACTCTATTCAATAAACTGCAATGGCTCTCATTACTTCTAGGGTTAAGTCCATCACAATTAACCCTGACCTACTTTTCAGCCTTATTAAACATTACTTCCTTTCATGACACTAGAGTCCAACCAAATTGGCCTCCATGTGTGGTGTTGATCTCCCCCCTCTATGTCTTTGTACCAACTTGTTTGGAAAAATATTCATTCCTCACCTTTACTTTTAAAAATCTCTAGTTTTCTTTAAGGATCATCTTAATAACAATAAAAGCAATAATGGCTAGCATTTATACAACACTTTAAAGTGCACAAAGTGCTGTACAGATATTTTATCCTCACAACAGTTTTGGGAGGTATTATTCTCTTTTTCAGATTAGGAAACTGAAGCAAACAGAGGTTCAGTGGTTTACTCAGGGTCACACAGCTAGCAGATGTTTGAAGATGGATTTGAACTCAGGTCTTTCTGACTTTATTTGGCACCTACCACCTTCCTACATGAAGCCTTTCCTGATTCCCCCAGTGGCTAGTGCCCTCCTCCAAATTACCTTGTGTCTATTTTCCATACCTATAATGTGTATGTATGTGTTATCTCTCCCACAAGAATGTAAGTCTGACTTTAGAGGTGACTCCTTTAAAGGTAACATCTAGTTACTTTCTTTCATATATAGTTTATCCCCCTTTAAGGAATCTGACTGATGACATTTCTTAGGGGAGCATAAGTTGATGATGGCTGAGCTTAGGGCTTTGGTTTTTAGGTACGGGACTCCTCCTAGAGGGAACCCTAAGCTTTCTGGCTGCCTGACAGGTCAAGTAATGTCTAAGTGAACCACTAGTAGCTTCCCTTCCAAGGTTACTGTTATTGACTTTGCATGAACATACTTACATATATGTACAACAGCTCATAACTCAAGAGACAGAGGGACCTCAGAAGGAAACCAGACCATCTCCTTTGATAGATGAGGAAGTGAAGGCATAAAGTTCAAGTGACTTGCCCAGGGTCACATAGCTAGTAAGCATTTTGAGGCAGGATTTGAACCCAACTCTTCAGACTCCAGGTCCATTGCCTAATCCACAACACAGGAGGTGTCAGACTTGGCCAGTGTTTCCAGAACCAGATTAAAATGTAATTGGGAAACGTTTAACAAAATAAATAAAAATACAACACAACACATAATGTTCATTTGTGGTTTTCTAAGCCAATATCTGACCAGCAAGGATCCTTTTCTGTTTGACTTGGACACCCCTGGCCTGCAACCTACTGTCTCTCCTGTTGCTTCTCTGTTAAGGTAAGGTCCTCCAGAGCAGGTCTTACACAGCTTTTTCTTCGTATATCAATAGTTTAACTCGTCTGATACACAGTAGGCACTTAATAATTGCCAGTCTCTCCGAATTAAAGTGCTTGAGTCTGGTGGGGAGGGGACAGCATCATAGAACTCTGATCTGGAGTTGGAATGGAATCCCCTCTTTTTTACAAATATGTAAACTAAGACCCAGGGAGGTCTAATGCAACTTGTTCAATCAATAAATTACTCAACAAACATTACGGAGGCACTTGCTTTGTGCTAAGACTAGGGATACAAAGGAAGACAAAAATCAGTGCCTGACCTCACAGGAGCTTGCGGTCCGAGGGGAAAGACAATACGCAAACAAACTATATATCCAGGCTAAATTGGAGATGTGCTAAGCGAGAAGAAGGCGCTCTGATTCAAGGAGGAATGGGGAGAACTCCCGTCAGAAGGAGGGACTGGTTTCAAACCCCAGCTCTGACACTTGCCACCTGAGTGACCGGGCAAGTCCTAACACCTCTTCAGTTTCCTTATCTATAAAGTGAGGATTTGCACCTAGCAGGTGCTTGCTAAATGCTTGTTAAATGATGGAGAGGATTAGATTAGGAGGCCTCTAAGACCCCTCCGGAGGAGGAGGAGGAGAAGGAGAAGGAGGAGGAGGAGGAGGAGGAGGAGGAAGGGTAGAAGAGTGTGTTTGCGCACGTAGGAGGAGGGATGCAGGAGGGAGAGCGAGTGTGCTCCAATCATAAACCGCCTTTCCTATCCTCCCTTCTCCGGGGTTAGCTTCCCATCAGAGATTGGTCCAGAGGCTCCCCTTTCCCGTCTCTCTGCAAATGAACGGTTGCACCTTGGCTAAAGAGGGGCGGGGGAGCCCGACCTTAGCCCGCGATGGATCGGGTGGAGGCCCCGGCTGGGGCGCCCAGGTGTCCCCATCCCGAGGACAGCGCCTGGTCTCCGGCCTTCCCGGGCCCGAGAGGCGGGGGCGGAGCCGGCCGCCGGGCTGGAGCGCGTCGGTCCCCGCCCCCTCCTCCTCCTTCTCTTCCTCCTCCCTCCTCCCCGCTGCTCCCCCTCCGCCGCCCCTCCCCTCGCTCCAGCCCTCCCGGCCCGCCCAGGAGCGCGCGCCTCCCAGCGGAGGTGCGTTTGCCTCCCCTCCTCTGCTAGACTTTCGGCAGCGGCGGTCTCCGTAGCGCAGCAGCAGCAGCAGCAGCTGCATTAGCAGCAGCGGCGGCGGCGGCGGCGGCAGCAGCCCCAGCCATGGCGGAAGTTCATAGACGTCAGCATGCTCGGGTTAAAGGAGAAGCCCCCGCTAGATCCTCCACTGCCAGAGATGAGGAGGAGCTGGGGATGGCGTCGGCCGAAACGCTGACCTTGTTCCTGAAGCTGCTGGCCGCCGGCTTTTACGGCGTGAGCTCCTTTCTCATCGTCGTGGTGAACAAGAGCGTGCTCACCAGCTACAGGTAGCCAGCAGCCGGGCGGAGGCTGCCTGGGGCGGCGGGGCGGGCGGGCAGCGGGGCGGCGGGGCGGGGAGCCGTGGACTTTGCGCCGCCGCCGCCGCCGCCGCCAAAGTTGAAGATGAACAAAGTTCAGCCGGAGCCAGGCAAGGGGATTGTGCCTTAACTCGTGCGCTGCCTGCACGCCGCCGCCGCCGCAGCAGCAGCCGCCGGCGGCCGCCCATCCCCTCCTTTACTGCGGCGGCGGCGGAGGCAGCCTGTCTGCCATGGCATCCCCGGGTTGTGCTGGCTGGTGCCCGTGTGTGCGCGGGCGTGTGTGGGCACCGGGGAGCCCTCACTCCCCTTGGCTGCTGCTCTGCAAATGTCACCTCATCCTCCGGGCCTGAGTTCCTTTAAGGGAGGTGGGGTGGGGAAGGATAGGCAGGAGAAGGAAGGGGTGAAATTTTAATTTGCCACGGTGTGGGAAATCACCCTCGCGTTGTTTCCTCTGCAGAACGCTTTAAAAGGGAAACTGATCAATGGCAGTGAAACTGATCACTGGCCGTGAAACTGATCACTGGCCGTGAAACTGATCAATGCCAGTGAAACTGATCAATGCCAGTGAAACTGATCAATGGCAGTGAAACTGATCAATGGCAGTGAAACTGATCAATGGCAGTGAAACTGATCACTGGCCGTGAAACTGATCAATGGCAGTGAAACTGATCAATGGCAGTGAAACTGATCAATGGCTGTGAAACTGATCAATGGCAGTGAAACTGATCAATGGCTGTGAGAGTGATCAGTTACTAACTACTGGGCAAACTTGCTACTGAACGTTCTGTCTTTGCCTGGCTGATTGAAATAGACATCGAAGTCCACAGCAACCCGGCCATTCTCTTTCTCGAGCTCGTCTTTGCCTTCACAAGGTGCAAACACTATGTGACTGTGGTTGCATTAGTAGATTAATTTTCCAGTCATTTTAATCTTGTTTCCCAGTACTCAGGCGGGTATATTTGTTGAGGCTGGGAAAGCGCTACGCCAGTAGTGGTATATCTTAACTTCCTGAGGGCACCAACAGACGTTGCAACCACACAAGCCCAGGCAGGTTGCCACCCAGCACTACCGAGTCCGGGTGGTTGCTTTGCCCCTTGGCCCAGGCAAGTTTTTCAGCAGGAAATTCAGTTTGTCCTTAGCTGAAGGGCAAAACTTCTCCTTTGGCTTATTATGATCCCGGGGCTCTGTTGTGATTCTAATGCTCCCAAATGATGCTGTTAGCTTGCTGACTTTGTGTTTTTTTGTTTTTTTCTTCTCTTCCCTACTATCTGCATAGATTTCCTTCCTCACTATGTGTTGGACTTGGCCAGGTTAGTTGGAATCTCAAGAATTAAGCGGTTTGTAGTGTTTCAATTCGTGCATAGGTCTTTCTTGTTGAACAGTGAATGTTTGTTCTTTGCACAGATGCTGGCGACAGTGATCGTCCTCTGGGTGGGAAAGGCGCTCAGGGTAGTAAAGTTTCCTGACTTTGACAGAAATATACCTCGGAAGGTAATGAAACAAGTAAATGACTGAAGAGTACTCTTGATCTTTCTTACTGGAAGAACCATTGTTCCTATCTGTCTGAAAACAGTCAGCTTTGAACACATCTTAATTTAAAGTCGGTTTTAATCAAGGTGAAGAATTTATTTAATAACATTTCAAAAAGGAATCAAGCTTTCTTTTCTGATGAAGAAAAAAGAAAATGGGAAGTTTTGGTTCTGTTTTTAATTAATTCCTTCCCTTCATCAGGGAGGGCAATGAGTTTTTAAGTTCCTCTAGCTAGCTTATCAGATGTTTTATGCCTTCATTATAGCCTCAATTTTCTGAATTCTGCCTTTTTCTCTGGTTCCTCATGAAGATGGGCTAGCATCCCATTTTCTCTTGATATATAAGCACAAATTGTATTTTAAGCAGGTGATGAGGTTAAGAGTTTTTATATATTTTACCATTTTGCAATTCTCCACTTTTTCTTGGGGTTCAAACAGAGCAGGGGGAGGGGGCTTAGTATCGATTTGGTGGCTGGGTGTGGGAAGAGGCTGGAATTATTTATGCTCACTAACCTCTTGGGCCACGATGAAAGAGTCTGATCCCATAAACAAACACGTTGGTCTTTTGAAAGACTCCCGGACTTCAGCCGTCTTTACTGATTGAATGTTGTTATCCCTTTTACATTTTTTTCTAGACATTTCCACTACCTCTACTGTATTTTGGGAACCAAATCACAGGACTGTTCAGCACAAAGAAACTGAAGTATGACTGATTTTTCTCCCCTATTTTCCTAGCGAGATGAATATAGTGTATGTTAAGAGCCTATGGGAGTGACCAACTCGCCAACAGAGACTGTGGGCAGTGGAGGGCATGGTGATGGAAGCAGGGCTGGATGGTTCTTGGGGGCACCATTGTTTAGAAAGAATTTCTCTGGTTATTTTTTTTCACATCCGAAGGCCATGAGGAAAGGTTAACTTGATCATAGAGCATGAAGGTAGAACTATGGAACCACAGAGGTCATCTAGAGACAAACCTCCTCCTTCTACAGATGTGGAAATTGAGGCATGGAAGAGCCCTTAGAGGCTATCTAATTCAACTCCCTCATTTTACAGATGAGGAAACCGAGGCCCAAGGAATACCCTAGAGCCAGAGCTGACTGGAATTTCAAAGGCTTTATATAATCCAATCCCTTTATTTATAGATGAGGAAACTGAGGCCCAGAGAGACAGAGTGACTTTCCCAAAGTCAAAAGGGAAGCAAACATCAAAGGTGGTATTTGAACTAGCGCTGGGCCTGAAATCAGGAAGACTTGAGTTCAAATCCAACCTCGGACACTTAATAGCTGAGTGACCCTGAGCAAGTCACTTACCTCTGCCTCAGTTTCCTCATCTGTAAAATGGGGATAACAATAGCACCTACGTTGCAGGGTTGTTATGAGGATCAAATGAGGTAAGATTTGTAAAGCACTTAAGACAGTGCCTGGCACGTAGTAGGCTCTATACAAATGCTAGATGTTTTTATTATTAATGTTATAGAACCAATGCTCTTTCCACTGAACCGTCTTGGGGAAGGAGTAGGTGTTCAAAGAACAGAGATAATGGAATTGAGACATTTTCCATTTCATTCTTCTGAAGGTTATTTAGAGCAGACATTTTACTTTGGAGTGCTTGTATCAGTGTATAAAAATAACATTTGGGGGAGAGGCTAGTGAAGGCTAACTTTGTTCTCCCCTCCCCTCCCTCCCTATGACGATTTAAGTGGCCTCATGCAAAGCCCTAATATAAATATCGAATTGCTGACTTACTCCTTACTGTCAGTCCATTGGCAAAGGCAGCTTGTTCTTGTTGGTGAAGAGCGAGTATTCCTGTTCCCCCTTTAGGCCTGCCACACCCACCTCCCTAACTCTGGCTCCTCTAACTGAAAGGGGTCTGTGTGGTTTTCAAGATTCAAATACAAGGACTACCTCTCCAAAAAGGCCTATGGCAAAGGTTACATCTAGCTATGGCAGATCCCTGGGCATCCTTCCTTGCCTTTGTCTTGGGCAGAAGTGACAATGTCAGGAAATGACAAGTCTCGGGGTGCTTGGAGAGGGGAAGTGGTCTGGGTGACCTTGGAAACTAGATTATTATGGTAGAAAGCTCTCTTCCTAGATTCAGACCGGGGAGGGGCCTCAGAGGCATTGGTGTCATGCTCCTAGAAAAAAAGGATCCCTGCATGTGCATATTGAAGTTAAAAATTTTTTTTAAATATTTTTATTTTCAGTTGCAAATTCTGTCCCTTCCTCCACCCCCTCCCCACTCATTGAGAAAGCAAGAAATATGGTACTGTGGGAGCAAATTGATTTAGAAACCACATATCGACATTATTTCTGTTTTAATGTATCTTTATTTTGTTAAATATTTCCCCATTATGTTTTAATCTGGTTTGGGCTGCACCTGGAGTAGTATGGGCCCTGTGGGGCTCGTATTTGACACCTTTGATCTTATCATGCTTCTGAAACTACCGAGGGAGAAACTGAGGTAAAGAGAGGTGAAAGGACTTGGGATGGTAGATGTAGGAATCTCCTCGGCCATCTGGCCCATCCCTGTCCTTTTAGAGATGAGGAAAAGAGGCCCAGAGGCCAGGAAGACTTCTCTCCCTGAGTTCAAATGTGACTTCAGACACTTCCTAGCTGTGTGACCCTGGACAGGTCACTTATCCCTGTTGGCCTCAGTTTCTTCATCTGTAAAATGAACTGGAGAAGGAAATGGCAAACCACCCTGGCATCCTTGCCAAGGAAATCCTAAATGGGGTCACGAAGAGTTAGACGCCACTTAACAGCACAGTAAATAGCAGGGTCAGGATTTGAACCCGGGTCATAGATCTGGAGTTGGAAGGCAGCTTAGAGTACATCTCATCCCCTTCTTTTCTAGAAACAAAACTGGAATTGAAGAAAGTGACGCAACTTGGTTTTCTGAGTTTGAATCCAGTATGGGTGGTGTTTCCATAGAGGTAGATTGAGGACTGCCACAAAAATGGACCTGCACACAGAAATTTCTTTTGAGCACTGACTGTTTGCAAAACATAGACAGACAGACAGAGAGATGAAGGCCCTTATACCTTGGCCCTTTCCTTCCAGAAGCTCGCTGTCTAGGCAGGGATATGAGATCCGGCTTTTTTTTGGGAGGGGGGAGGGAGAGGGGCAGCTAGGTGGTGCAGTAGATAGAGCTCTGGCCTTGGAGTCAGGACAACCTGAGTTCCAATGTGGTCTGAGACACTTGATACTTAGTAGCTGTGTGACCCTGGGCAAGTCACTTAACCCCTGATTGCCTAAAGAGAAAAACAAACAAACAAAAACCCAAAAAACTGGGATCTGGGCTTTTCAAAACCAAAGTACACAAAGGAATGGGAGAAGTGTTGGGTATTAGAGAAGTGTAAGCAGGGCTCTGGGGGTCCTGAGGAGGAACCGGTTAATCCTGACCAAGAGAGAATTCAAGAAGACTGCTTCCTCACCATGACCACATTTACGTAGTGCTTTACAGAATAATAATAACAGCATTGTTTTTTTTTTTTTGCAAAGCACTTAACACAGATTATCTCATTGGATCCTCACAACAACCTTGAGAGGTGGCTTCTAGGATTACCCCCATTTTACAAATGAGGAAACTGAGGCTGGAAGTAACTTGCCTGGGGTCACAGAGCTAGTAGATATCTAAGTTGGGATTCCAGCTCAGGTCTTCTTGCCTTCCAAGTCCAGCACTCTCTTCACTGTGACACCCAGCTGGAGGAGGTGGTATTTGAGTTGGGGACTGGAAGGATAGGGCTTAAGCAGATGGAAGTCAAAGGATGAACATTCTAGGCAGAGGGAATGATGTGGTCAGAGTCACTGAATAAACAGATAATTTAAATAATGACCAGAAGATTGGATGTCAGAAATAGATGTGCCCAGGTTAAATTGAGGGTTCCCCCTCCACTTTCAGTACTTTTGACCAGGTGAACTTGAGTTTATTTTTCAGGTTTTAGGTGAAGATTGGGGTTGGGGGTGGGTGGGGAGTGGTAGTCGGGTGGGTACACTGGGAAATGATTGGGTCATTGGGGTTCAGATCGCTAACATGGAAAGAACCAGTCAGCCTAGCTGAACCAGAAGATTATTTGCTTTAAGTCATAAAAGAAAAGCACTGCATTTATTTTGCCTTGTGGCTGTTCCTTTATAGCTTGCCAATGTTTACAGTCTTGAGAAGGTTCTCCATTTTGTTTACAATGATTGCTGAAGGAGTATTACTCAAGTAAGTTACATTTCAAATGTATCTTTTTTGTGTCTTAAGTCTTTTACAAATTTTATTGAAGCCATTTACTTCTCCAATCACAGACTTTTCCCAGCACTCACTCCAATCTGCCAACCTTGTTACAAAGAAACTCCTCCTCTCCCTTGTTACAAAAAAAGTTAAAAACAACCATAATATCATTCACATCAGACAGTGTATGCAACATTCAGCATCTGTTGTTTCCCACTTCTCAGTGATAGTGGGGAAGTGTATTTTATCATTTCTCCTCTGGAAACATTAATATCATATCAGTGTAGAAGATGAGTCCATGGTTTATTGTTTATTGTTTTCCTAGCTATTGTAGTATTCATAATGTATTAGTAGAGTATTTCCTCCTTCCCTTGCTTAGCTGATTCAATGATTTAGGCTAGTAATCTCAAAGTAGAGGTCCCCTGAAGGTCCCTGAGAGATGCAAGAGGTCAAAACAGTTTTCAAAATGATATCAGACATTATATGCCCATGAAAATGTTCCTCTCTTTTCTAACTACAATCTATGAGGTCAGATTTTCTTCTTCTTCAACCAAAACAACATATTGCAATAGATTGAAGGCAGAAGCAGATAAGAGAATCCAGCTGTCCTCTCCTAAGCCAGACATTAAAGAGATCTGCAAAAATATCTAAAACCATGTCATTCTTCTCACTAATTTTCTTTTTGCTTTGGAAAACATAGTTATTTTTCATTAAAAAAATTAATATTTAATGAGTTTATTATTTTAAAAAAATTGATACACATTTTAAAAATTATTAGGTTTAATGTATAATGTGCTAAATATTTATGGGTATGTAACCCACATATACAAAAGCTTTTTGGAGTCTTCAATAATTTTTAATAGTGTGAAGGTCCTGAGACCGAAAAAAGATGAGACCCTCTGGTTTAGGCATTCAGAGCCAATGCTATTGGGAGAACAATACATTTAGGATTGAAGACATTGAGAAAACGGGTGTTCCTTTCTAGAAACAATTGCTGGGTAAAGACAGGGTCATATTCTGATTTTTTATATAATTTCTGTAGCCTGGCTTCTTTTCTTAAAAATGTGGTTTTGGCTTCTTCCTCTGTCAGTGCATCCCATTTTAAGAACATTTAATATCCAGACATCTGAACTCATTCCCTTCAAAAAAGGGAGGGGATAACTCAGGTATTTGCATTACAAGAAGAATTCATTTTGCTGAAGGATTCACCCCAGAATGCCTTTAAATACCTGGCCCATTCAGGAGCATCAAATAAATGAGTAAATAAATAAATAATGTAGCTTATAAAAATTCAGTTGGCGTACTATTTTTCTAGAACACAATATATGCACCAAAAAAAAACAAGTATACCTTGCTCTAACCTCCCCAAATGTAGCAAGTTCAAACAGGATTCTAGGATCTTGGATTTAGAACTGGGGAGACCCATCGTGCCACTGAATCCTCTTTTTTTAGATGATGAAAGTGAGGTCCAAAGACAATTGGTGCCACCCAGATAGTGTTGGAGCCAGTATTAGCAATGAAAGTAAGCACTTAGTGTAATTTTTATAAGTTGTCTCCCATCATGGAGAGGTGCCAGGGCGCTCTGGCAAGAAAACTGGCCTTGAAGCCAGGAGGATCTGGGCTAAGGTCCCACCTCTGAACACCAAGGTCCCACCTCTGAACACCACACAGACACAGACACAGACACAGACACAGACACACACACCCACACACCCCCCCCCCCCCCCTGTGTAACTCTAGACCGCCCCTTCTAAGACTAAAAGTCAAAAAAAAAAAAAAAAAGTGTGGTCTCAGCATGGTAGGAGTTTTTTCATTGGGAATGACAAAATACAGATCTGGAAAAAAAAATATTTTTGTGTAACCTGTGAATCATCTTCCACTGACTTGCAACTTGTTGCTGTATAAGCAATCTCACACCGGGGTTATCAGTGGCCAGGGTAACGTTTGCAGAGGGCCTAAAAACTGGGCAATTCTTAGTACCATTACCCCCCATTTCTGTCACTCTGGTATCAGCGTTGCAGAGGTGGAAGGACCTCATGGGCCCAACGGTCATTTTCTTAAATGGGCCTTTAAAATTTTTTTATAGATATGTTTAAAAAATATATTTTATTTCCCCCAATTACATACTAAAACAAAAATTTCAACTTTTTTTTTAAGTTTTGAATTCCAAATTCTAACCCTCCCCCTTCCCTGAGATGATAGGCAATCAGATATAGGTTATACATGTGCAATTATGTAAAACATTTTCATATTAGTTATTTTGTACAAGAAGACTCGAATGAAAGAAAAAAAAACATGAAAGAAAGTGAGAAATAGCCTGCATCAGTCTGTATTCAAGCAATATCAGTTCTTTCTCTGAAGGCAGATAGTATGCTTCATCATTAGTCCTTTGGGATTGTCTTGGATCATTGTATTGCTGAGAATAGCTAAGTCATTCACAGTTCTTCATCGAATAATATTACTGTTAGTGTGTACAACATTCTCCTGGTTCTGTTTGCTTCTCTGTGCATCAGTTCATGTAAGTTTTTCCAGGTTTTTCTGAAATCATCATGCTTTTCATTTCTTATAGCATGATAATATTCCATTGCATTCATATAGCACAACTTGTTTACCCATTCCCCAACTGATGGGCATTCCCTCAATTTCCAATTCTTAGCCACCACAAAAAGTTGCTATAAATATTGTTGTACAAATAGGTTCTTCTCCCCCCCCCCCCCCCCTTTTTTTTTGCTGTCTCTGGGATACAGACCTAGCAGCGGTATTGCAGGATCAAAGGGTATGCACAGTTTTATAGCCCTTTGGGCATAGTTCCTGATTGTTCTCCAGAATGGTTGGATCAGTTCACAACTCTATCAGCTGTGCATTAGTGTCCCAGTTTTCCCACATACCCTTTAGCATTTATCATTTTCTTTTTTTGTCATATTAGCTCATCTGATAGGTATGAGATGGTGCCTCAGAGTTGTTTTCATTTGCATTTCTCTAATATATAGTGATTTAGAGCATTTTTTCATATGCCTATAGATAGCTTTGATTTTATCTCAAAACTGCCCATTCATATCCTTTGACCATTTATCAACTGGGGAACGACTTGTATTTTTATAAATTTGACTCAGTTCTCTATTTATTTGAGAAATGAGGCCTTTATCAGAGATACTTGCCCGGTCATCTTTCGGGCTATCAGTAGCAATTGCTGTATATGTCAAGTGTGTCTGCTGAGGGAAGGCATGGGACTGGGGTGGAGTTGGGGAGCAGGAGGGATTATTGGATAGTGATTATTATGTCACAGTGAAACAGATCTGGGAAGATACTGAGCAGAGTTTTTAACTTTCTTTGTCTCCTGGACCCCTTTGGCTCTGGACCCCTTTAAAGAATCATGTTTCTAAATGCATAAAATAGAATTACAAAGAAAACCAATTGTATTGAAATAAAGATGTAATTTTGTGTATTTATCACTGCACATATGTCTATATTAAGAAGAATAGCAAAATGTCTTTATAAAACAGTTTAAGTGTCTTGGAAATATAACTACAACTTTTTGTTTTCTAAATCTCTAGGAAGACCTTTTCTTGGGGTATTAAAATGACCGTTTTTGCGATGATCATTGGAGCATTTGTAGCTGCAAGGTAAGGTCTTCTAGTCCTTGCACTATCAATCAATCAATCAAGACACATTTATTAAGTGCCTTACTGTGTTCCAGACAATGGGCTGAGTTCTCGAGTTTAGCACATACGAAATTATCTCTGGACAAAAGGCTTCTTGCCTTTTTTTCGGAGGGAGGAGAATCCTGTTTTTGTAAAGTACAACCCACAGACTATTTTCCAAGGGCTAAACCTTGTTGAATGCTTTGGGATCAAGTTCGACAAAAAATTCAAGTTCACTTGGCTCAAGGCTCTGAGAGCTTATAGAGGCAGTGTTCTGATTTAGAGTTAGAGGACCTGGGTTCAGATTTCAGCTCTGCTGCCCATGTGACCATGGGCAAGTCAGTCGCACTCTCTAAGCTTCGATTTCCTCATCTGCAAAATGAGGGGTTAGACTCCATGGCCCTTCGGATCTCCATTCTACTCCGAATCGGGAGTCCAGAGTGTTTTCTTCTATTTCAATAATTCATGGTGATTCTCATAACTATACCTACTGCATTCTGGTTATCGCCAAGGTTCACCCACTTGCCATTGGCATGGTAATGTAGTTTATAAATATGGGAAGAAAGTGTGAATTATAGAAATGGGAATGTTAAAAATGAATGACTGTGGGCCTTCCAAGAAACGCATTTGTGTGAGTGTTGTTATTAATGCTACATTTGGGCCTAATGTCACTCTTTACATCTCCAAATCCCAGTTTCTTTCATGTACCAATAATATTTGTAAAAAAGCACTTAGCACAGTGCCTGGCATAGAGTAGGTGCTATATAAATACTTACTCTCTTCCTTTCCCTCCTTGCCCTCCCATGTATTACCTTCCTGAGCCTCCTTGCAGCTCAATGGTAAGGGCAAGGGCGAGTATTACAAGTCACATAGAGTTTTTACCATAAGAGGCAGCACCCTGGACTTTGTGCTGTTCCTCACACACAGATTTCCCATCTCCATGCCTTTGAACTGGCTGTCTCCTACAGCTGGAATGCATCTCCACCTCTTGGAATACCTGATTTCCTTCCAGACCCATCTCAAGTGGCACCTTCTGGAGGAGGCCTTTTTAAGTGTGCCTCTTCTCACCCCTCACCCTAGTTTTTATCTGCCGAGTGTGTGTGTATGTGTGTGTGTGTGTGTGTGTGTGTGTGTGTGTGTGAGTGTGTGTGAGAGAGAGAGAGGGAGAGAGAGCGACCTCCCTGGCTTACTCTAAGTCCCAGCTAGAATCCCACCTTCTATAGGAAGCCTTCCCCAACTGCTCTTAATTCCAGCACTTTCCTTCTGCTAATTTTTTCCTCTTTATCCTGTATATACGGTGCTTTGTACATAGCTGCTGCAATGTCGTTTCTCCCCGCCCCCGTTAGATCGTAAATTCCTTGAGGGCAGGGGCTGTCTTTTGTCTCTTTGTATCCCCAGTGCTTAGCACAGTGCCTGGCATACAGTTGGCATTTAATAAAGGTTTACCAATTGATTGATTGATGCACATACATATTCACCTGTATACACATGTACACGTATGTTGTTCCCCCATTAGAACAGAGGCTCCCAAGCCAAGCTGTAGTATGGTCACCTGTTTCGTGTAGTGGTCTCTAAGCAAATCTCACATTTGGTGCTTGTCAGATACTGAACAAAAACAGAAATTGAAAAGAGAGAGAATGTTAAGCTCTTAGTGGGCAGAGATTTCACCTTTGTTCTTGGGCCTCCAGCACAGCGCCCTGACACTTAGTGTTTGCTTAATAAATGCTAGTTAATTGAATCATAATAGACTGAGGGCTGAAAGGAGAGGTGGGAAGACTTTGGTTCTGGTTCTGCCTGAGATGTTTACTGTCTGTGGAACCTTTGCAAGTTGGTAGCTTATCTCGGCCTCGGTCTCCTCATCTGTAAAATAGGGCTGATAATGGCACCTACTTCCCAGGGTGGTTTTCAGGATGAAGTGACAGAAGGTGTGCAAGGAACTTTTGTTGTTCAGTCATTTCATTCATGTCTGACTCTTCATGACCCCGTTTGGGGTTTTCTTGGCAAAGATAGTGGTTTGCCATTTCCTTCTCTAGCTCATTTTACAGATAAGGGAACTGAGGCAAACAGGGTGAAGTGAATTGCCCAGGGTCATACAGCTAGTAAGTGTCTGAGGCTGGATTTGAACTCAGGTCTTCCTGATTCCACATAGTAACCTAACTCTGGAAACCTACTAAGTGTTTTATAACTGCCTCCTCTTCTATGATGATTCTGAGGCCCATTCCAGGCAAGTTAAATCTGAAGCCCATTTTATTCCACGGGAAGGCCCTGCCTACTAAGGTGCTGTTTGTGTTTTTAGCTCTGACCTGGCCTTTGACTTGGAAGGATATGTTTTCATCCTGGTGAATGACGTCCTGACAGCTGCCAATGGCGCGTACGTGAAGCAGAAACTCGATTCCAAGGTTGGTAGCCCCTCACAGCCCCTTTGAGAGGGGTTTACTAACACTGGACATTTGTGTGGGGCAGTGGGCGAAACTGATCCTTACATCAGCACTGTGAGATAGCTGCTATTGTCATCCCATTTTACAGATGAGGAAAATGAGGCAGGATAAGTAACTTGCTCAGGGTCTCAGAGCTAAAGCAAGATTGAGTCTTGAGTCTTCCTTATTCCAGGACTATCCATTGCCCCACCCAGCTGCCCATCTAGTTTACCCTCCTGTTACAGATCGGGAAATTGAGGCTAAGTGACTTGCCCAGAGAATCAAGCAGCAGAATGGGAATTTGGGCTCAAACCTTCTGTTCTTTCCATGCATCACATCCCCTTTTCTCTGGGGAAAATGAAGTGTTTGATTGGGAGCTTGGCGTGTGAAGAGGGGTGCTCAGGCCTTCGTGGGTTCAGTAGAACCTGGGAGTTGGGAGGATTATGGTTTTAGGAGCTGGGAGCGGCTACAGAGGCCATTTAACCCAAGTGCTTCATTTTAAAGATGAGGAAACTGGGGTGAAGTGGGCCAGCGTGGGAGTGGGCACAGAAAGGAAGGAGCTTTTGGAGAAGCCGAGAGTGGAAAGAAAAGCTGGCAGAAGGGAAGAGGGTCTCGGGAGGTCTTAAAGGTTAATGGGAGGAGGAGATGGAATAAAGGTGGCTTTGTTATCCTGCTGCTGGAAGCCAAAGAAAACACTCAGTGAGCATCAAGACTGTCTTTTCTCGGGTCAGGCATCGGGCTTCCTGACCTGTGTCCCGCCTAGGACTTAGAGGTTACCTGGCGGTCCCCAATGCAAAGTCTAGGCATGAAGGCAAGACTTTAATTTTATGCAGAGTGAGAATGGTGTGTTGGGGTGATTAGGATGGAGATTCCTACAGGCGTCATACTGTGGCACGCGCATGACACGTCCTTTATAGAGGCAGCTTCACCTGATGCCTCCCTCTGTTAATTTCCTGTTGAGCCTGGACATAGCTTGCTTTGCGTGTATTTGTTTGCATCTTGTCTCTCTCGTTAGACTGAGAGCTCCTTGAGGGCAGGGACTGTCTTTTGCCACTTTTTGCATCCCCAGTGCTAAGTATGCTGCCTGGCACATAGTAGGAGCTTAATAAAGTTGACTGATTGAGGTCAGGAAGACCTGGATGCCGATGCTGTCCCTGACCCTTACCAACTGTGCCTGTAGACGAGTCACTCAACCATCCGGAACATCAGGCAACCCTCTAAGACAAATCTACTGAGATGGAGAAGGGTTGCAGCCTGTCACTGGAGAGGGAGTTCCCTCCTCAAGGACCTATTATTGACCACTCAGAGGTCTAAGGAGCATCAGGATGTGGTGGATAATGTGCTGTGCTGGGGGTCGGGAAGATACACAGTATTTGCATGTGGATGGCAGGATAATAAAGTTTGATTTTTTTTTTTTACTAGCTAAAAGAATAGGGGAAAGATGAGAAGTTGGGAAAGGTGACTACAAGATGGGTTTTGATCTTTTCTGTCATCAGTGGTAGAAAAGAACTAAATGCAGACCTTTGACTTCTCAAGCAAGCATAGCTCTCTGGAATAATTGTCATAGTAGACATTAAGTTGGTGGTGCAGTGGAGAGAGCACCAGTCCTAGAGGCAGGAAGACCTGAGTTCCAATCTGGCCTCAGACACTTACTAGCTGTGTGCCCCATAGCAAGTCACTTAATCTTGTTTACCTCAGTTTTCTCATCTGTAAAGTGGGCTGGAGAAGAAAATGGCAAAATCACTCCAGTATTTTTGTCAAGAAAACTCCAAATGGGGTCACAAAGAGTAGGACGTGACTGAAAGACAACTGAACAACAAATTAGTTTACAAAGTATTTTATATGTATGTATGTATATATGTATATATACACAAATGTATATGCATATATGCATATGTGTGTGTGTGCCTATATATACTGGGAGGGAGGGGGAGAGAGAGAGAGAGAGAAAATGTTATATATTATGTCATCTGAGTTTTTTAAAAAGTTGAAAAAGCTATCTCAAAATCCATGCAATGTTTACAGTTTAATGAATAGTTCCTCAGGCCAGTTTACTCTTATTTCAGATAAAATTCCTAAACAGGATGATTTCCTGCTTTCTGAGCCTCTAGGATGTTAGAAATAGTGCATTAGGAAGGGGTGAGGGCCAGAGTGGGTGAAGACAGTGCTTGCAGGCACACTGACCTCAGCAAGATTTGTTAAGCTGTCAGGAATAGCAGAGACAAGCACACTATAAAATCAGATGTAGAAATAGGGACCAGAGCTGTGATTTCATTGATCTGGGTAATTACAAGGTGAGAAAACTCTCTCTGCCAATGCAGGTGGGCACTAGCTCTGTACCTTCAGTTGTGCTGACAGTGACTTATCCAGGGTCTTATAGCCTGTGGGTATCAGAGCTGGGACTTAAACCCAGGCCTTTCTGGTTCTGAGGCTGGCTTCCTCTCCTTTCCCCATGCAGCCGCTCTAGATCGGCAGAAGGACTCACACAATCCCAGCAGTTTGGGGATATTTAGTTTAGGGGCAAAGTCATTCACACTTGAGTGGGTCCTGAGGGCATCCCCGTGTTACTGCTCTATAGAGTCATTCTTGATCAGAAAGGTGCCCCTGAGTCGTTCAGAAAAAGTTCCGGACCTTTTGTTTAAGGTCAAAACGTTGGTGCTTAAGGAAATAAACTTTTATTACCTGGAGCATTCATATGTGAATCTCTAGCTCATTTTATTTGTCAGGAATCTTTAGAACAAGGGCCTAACTTTAATGTAGGGTCAATGGACCCCTAAGGGGGTGGATAGATTGTGAATAGATTTCAGGGAGTCAACAAACTTGGATGGGGAAATGTTATTTTTAATTTTCATTAGCTCCAGACTGACATTATTGTTTCCTTCAAGTATGAATTTAAAAAATTGTTCTGAGAAGGGATCCATAGGTTTCCCCGGATGGCCAAAGGAGTCCATGACAAAAAAAACCCCAAAACTTTTAAGAACCTGTCTTCTAGAGGAATTTTTTTAGTTCAGTAGGCATTGATATCATGGTTGCAAAAGTGCTGAATTGGAGGTCAGAAGACCTGGATTTTCATCCTGGCTTTGCCACTTGCTGTTTATGTAACCTTCAGTAAATCACTTACCCTCTCTGGGCCTCAGTTTACTTCTCTGTAAAATCCAAGCCTTGACCCAGAGTGATCCTGGGATCTAGGTAGGTGAGGAGTTGTGGCTAGTTTGGATTTCTCAAGCAGACTGGCAGCATGACTGGTGTGAGGTTTGGGTTTCAGCTAACTGCTCTGTCTCGTAGTGTCAAGCTTTCTCTGTGGAATCAGAAAATGTTAGGGCTGTAAGGATCCTTAGAGACCATCTAAGGGTGTGGCCCCAAAGGGTCTTCTTACCTCATTCGCTTACCTCGTTTCACTTACCAGTGAAATCACAGGATTTGTCCCCTCTCCCGAAAGACCACCACCACAGCCTTTCCATGGACTGTGAGCTGGTGTAGCCGGTGTGGCTGGTGCAGCCGAAGCCACAGTTTCCAGGCTGAATGTGGCTTAATGACCATTCCAGGATGAGTAATAACATGTCGAGGCTTATGTGATGGTACATTTGGGACCAGAAAGTAGTTGTGGTTTATGATGGTAATTTTAGTTTTGAGGTAAGAGTAGTAGCAGCTGGGCAGTTCATTTTTAATTAGGGACACGGCCTCAGGCTAATTCATAATCAAACCGTCCCAAATGACAAGCATTTATTAAGCACCTGCTATGTGCCAGGTACCATGTTAAGCCTTGGGGATGCAGAGAAGGGGAAAATCACAATCCCTACCCTCAGGGACCTCACTTTCTTTCTTTCTTTTTTTTCCAGTCAAAGACAAGGTTTATTAAAACATTGGTCATATTGGGCAGACTCTTAAGGAGTCTGAACATTAGTAAGCTATTGGCTAGATTATGAGAATCTAAGCATCTTAATGGAGACAAGCCGGACCTTATATACAGAAAGACTGTGGGAGGGATCTGGGAGTGGCCAAGCAGTCCATGAGGTAATAGAATTACCAAGGGTGGGAAGTGGCCTGGGGCCATAGGGAGGCAAGACAATGGAGGGGAGATTGGGTGTAGTCACAGTGAAGGACCAGTTGATAGGATTATAGCCTCAGGCTGATGCCAGAGATCTGGCCATGTGGGAAAGTCCAGCGTTTTTTCCTTTCCAACGCCATCATTCCCCCCTCAAACAAATGGGACCCAAATTCTCTTGGTAAGGGGCAATGGTCTCAGCTTCTGAAACTGCTTCTTGCTGGCAAGGGGTGTAGAGCTGTCCCTGCCTCAAGGGAGTCCCAAAGAGGAGGTTGACTGGAACCAAGCACAGGCTGCAGAACGATGTGGGGACGTTGGCTGGTACTCATGTTTGCTACCAACTGTAGGTGAATGGCCTATAGTCTGGAAGACATAAATCTGACAGAAAAAACTGCAGGGCCCAGATATAAAGCAGATATGAAGATTTAGGGCCCAACTTTTGGAGGATAAAACATCCTTAGCTCTGTTTGGATTAAAATAATTCAGTTTTCCAACCATGTAGTACCAAATCCACCCCATAGCCAGACTCAGGAATAGCCAAGTGGGTAACATTCCTTTTCAAAGCAATATAATGGGGAAACTGAGCCAGGAGGATCCCATCTTAGACTGAAGCTAAAATTGTCGTCTCAGTTTTTCCCCGATGCTGACTTCCCATTAGTATCACATTCTCTGAGTAGCTTGTGGCATTTCTCTCAAGATGGTGGATTATTGATTATCGATGGATTATGACCCATCAGACAACTCAAAATAAAATCCTGTGAGTTTTTACCTCAAACAGCAAGTTTCACTAATCACAGCTTAGGAAAAACTTTTCCAGGATTTACATCTCAAACTTCAGTTTGTCCTGGTGTAAAAAGCCAATCATTAGAGATTTCCATACACTTGCAAATTCTCAGCAAGCCATACATAACCCAAACAAGCTTTTCAGCTAGTTTACACATTAAAACAATCACCAACAATAGCCAAATTATTTTAGCGGTAACCAAATTATGAAAAATTGCTTGACATAACTGATACAGAAAATTCACCAATTTGAAACTTGAAACGAACCCATTATCAATCGGGTGACTTCAGTTTTCTTAAATGCACTTCCTAATCACACAGAGAATCAGCATCTCATCATTAACAGTTAAACCTACAAATTTAAAAGAGCATGCTTACCCAAGTGTGGAGGCCAGCTTCATTACCTTGAGCAGGATGTGCTGAACCTGGGTGATGCTTCCAGGCAAAGGTTGCCCCAGAGCCCAAGGCTATTGCCAAGGGGGCCCATGCTGTAGCTGCTGCCCCTCACCTTGCCTTCCTTTCCCAGGTGGGGAAGGTGAAATCAAAAGTGAGGGGTAAAGGGTGAAATTCTCTTCTCCTATGAGAGGGGTTAACAGATACCCTCTTGACTCAAGGGAAAAGAGTGACCAGGTTGTACGATGTTTCAAAACTTCTTCATGATCCATCACAAAACCTCCAAAATCTGCCAAGATATTTTTAGCTGTTCTAATTTTTCCTGTGGCCTCCATGAAGGAGGATTTAGAGGTGCAGAGGGAAGGGAGTGAGTAAGCCTCAGGGAACCAAAAAGCAACTGCGGCTTTCCCCAGTTCCCTAGCTCAGAGGGAATGAACAGAATTGAGCATACACCTCCAGATAGAGCATCCGTCCTTGTCCTCTATGCTGCAGAAGTGCACGCAAGTCCATGGCCTTGAACTGACCCAGTGGATGGAGAGCCTGAGAGCGCCTGGCCCCGTGAGAGACAGCCTCATAACTGTCTGCCCAAAAAGCACCTCCAAGCCTTGGTGCTTGGAGAGCAACCCTAAAAGCAGAGCAAGAAAGAAGGGAGGGGAGGCTTATATACCTTCTGATCTTGGCTGGAGAAGAACTTGGGGTTAAGCAGTTTCCCTGTGCAGGCCACCAAAATGAAGCAGTTTAAGGGTTCAGGGGTGCTCGTACCCCAATATCACAACACGCGAGTCCTGCCCGAAAGAATTCGACTCAAGCCTTCTTTCAGCCAAAGACGAGGTTTATTAGAACATCCGTCATGTTGGGCAGACTCTTAAGGAATCTGAACATTAGGTAACTATTGGCTAGATTATAAGCATCTGACCAGTGGCTCAATTATATGAATCTAAGCCGGGACCTCACTTTCTTAAAGGGAAGACAAGTACGTTATGAATATGTACAAAATAAACTGGGCAATTTATGGGGGCACACTAGCATCCTCAGGCGGGGGTGGAACATCTTTTGCCTCACAGAAATTTCCTCTGCTTGAAAGTTTCATGGGCACAGCTCAGGGGCCGTCTTCTTTTGGGACATCTTTTCCGGTCCCTCCAGGTGTTAGTATATGCTATGTCTTGAAAATATCTGGTATAACTCAGCTGCATCCCCAGGAGCCCAGCTGAGAGAGTTTGGGCTACTTCTTTCCCTTTCATTCAATGAGCATTCATTAAGAGAGAGAGAGAGAGAGAGAGAGTGAGTGAGTGTGTGAGTGAGTGTGTGTGTGTGTGTGTGTGTCTCATAGTGATCCAATCCCCCTCCTATGCCTTGAATAAGAGGAGAAAAATATAGGAAGACATTCCAGAGAAGTCTTCTCACATACTCTGCAAAATGTCCCTCTGGAAAAGCACCGACCAGCCTTAGGTGGATTGAATCAATCAGCCAGTCCACGAGCATTTATTAAGCACCTGCTGTGTGTCAGGCGTTTATACACTGGGGACCCAAAGAAAGCCCCTTACATTCTTCAAAGAAAGGGAAGGGCAGGGATATGTTTTGGATGTGCTCTCTTCCTAGCTTGTTTTAGGAAGGAAGACCTGTTGAGGATCTAGGGAGGATTCTCCAGCCTTAGGCCCAGCAGCTGCATGGAACACCCCTCACACCTTTCAGAGCACCCCTCAGCTGTCACTTCGTGCATGAGGTGACCAGTGACCACTCAGCTGTTGGTGTATTCGTGCTGTCTTTCCTTTCCCCTGTTCCCTGTCTCTCCTTCTGTCTTTCTCCAGTTCTCTGTCTCCCTCTCTCTTCTCTTCTCTCTCCTCCTCCCTGTTCTCTTTTCTCTGGCCCCCCAATTATTTTGTCTATCTTTACTTGGCAGTTTGTGTCCCCTTCCCCTAGAATGTAAGTTTTCTGAGGGCAGGGGCTATTTTCATTTTGTCTTTTGTGTCTCCAGTATCTAACAGAGTATCCTGCATGATTTTATTATGTGAGGGCAGGGAAGAGTCGCTATTTCATGTATGATTCTAGGTCTGTAAAGGCCCTTTGCTAATGGACATCAGCTACTTATTTGTGATACAGTTTTAGAGAGATGCTGAGGGCACTGAGAGGTTAAGGAACTTCTCAAGACTTGAACTCAGGTCTTCATGACACTAATGCTGAGTCTTATCCATTATGCCAGCTGTGTTTCACCTTGCATATTTTTCAGTCGTTTTCAGTCAGATCCGACTCTTTGTGACCCCATTTTTGGTTTTCTTATCAGAGGTATTGGAGTGGTTGGCCATTTCCTCCTCTAGTTCATTTTGCAGATGAGGAAACTGAGGCAGACAGAATTAAGTGACTCGTCCAGGATCACACAGCTAGGAAATGTCTGAGGCCAGATCTGAATTCAGGAAGATGAGTCTTTCTGACTCCAGCCCAGCGCTCAGTGCACTGTGCCACCTAGCTGCCCTCATTTTGCACACAGTAGGCACCTACTCAATATTTAGAGCTGGATTTATATGACTTTTAAGCATTGTCCTAAAAATCTAGAGATTTATTTGACCTCTCTCTCCATCCCCCCCCACTGTATTATATTTCTATCTGTAAAGACAATGTAGGTTGTTGCTCTCTCTTTGGGGGCTTTCTTCATGGCAAATCTGCAGAGTGAGTGTGTGTGTGTGTGTGTGTGTGTGTGTGTGTGTCTGTAAAAGACACAGATAGGAAGAGGGAGAGAGTGGTTGTGGGAGGGACAGACCTGGCTTTGGGGGTGCTCTGGGTGCAGCACTTGACTCTTGCTTGGTGGGGCCAAGATCAACCCCATTTGTTTCCTTTCCTAGGAGCTGGGGAAGTATGGCCTGCTCTACTACAATGCACTGTTCATGATCCTTCCCACCGTGGCCATCGCCTACTTCACAGGAGATGCACAGAAGGTAGGCCCTCCCTCGTCAATCTTGGCCGCCTGCCCACGTGTGGCTCATAGAAGTTTTTTTCCACAGGTCCAGAAGAGAGGCTTGTGTGTTGGTAGTGAGGAATGTGCTCATCAGGTGACCAGAGTGGAGAGTTTCCTTCCCAGCCCTCCTTCCCTGTGCCTCTGTGGGAGACTGTGCCAAAAACTCTCAGAATAGCTGTTGCTAGAAACATAAATAGTCCTGTCAGCCAGGACGCTTTGGAGGGAAGAAGGAGGAGAGGGAGAGTTTTCTGGAGGCAGAATTTTCTGGGTGGAGGCACTGAATAGCTGTGGAAGGACGCTGTCCTTGAAACATTCACACTGAACTTTTCTATGCCTTAGTTTCCTCATCTGTAAAATGAGGGATTTGGATTAGCTGGTCTCTGGGGACCCTTTTGTTTCTAGATCTGTGATCTAGAGGTTGTGAGATGATTTAAACTCCAGCAGAGCCCTGAAGCTTTCTCCTTCGATTGATTTTCTGTTTTGGCTGCTGGCCCAAGATGCATGGTTTACGGAGACTGAGCCCCAGTCGGCGTCCTGACGACGTAACCGGCAGATAGCTGTCGTCACCAGTGGTTTACTTTTAGTATCTAATAACACTCGTTGCGTTTCTGCAGATGTTTAGCTGGCTCTCTGCCAGCGCCTTTACAGCAAGCCTGCAGGCAGACAGGAAAGATGTCCCCATGCTGGGAAAGTTCCCTGGGTATCACAGAGGAGATGGAAACCGAGGCGCTGTTTGGCCAATGATTTTTGTTTCATTGATATATGACTTGCTTTTTACGCTAGGGTCATTGTCCCCCCTTTCTCTCCCTACCTCACAATAGAATCTTCATTCTTTTTTTTTTTTTTTAAAGTTAAGCAAAACTAACAAATACTCTGATGGTCTGTATATATATTCTGGTCTATGCATCCATGGTCTCCCATCTTTCTGCTGAGAGGATGGAAGTCTATTTCATCACCTCTGCTCTAGGATCAAGGTTATCGGTTCCTCTGGAACTATACATCCCAAGCTGGAAGGGACCTTAGAGGTCACGTGGGCCAGAAGAGGAAACAGTCCCAGTCAGAGAGAACCTGCCCGAGCTTACCCAGGTCCTCAGTGGCCAAGATGGGCTGAGAACCAGTTCTGCCTCTTTGCCCCTATACCAGACGGCCTCTTCATTCACCGGGCTCCTAGAATTGTTCTAATTTATAGAACCATAGTCTGCTGCTTTTCTCTTTCTCCTTCTCCCCTCCTTTTTCTTTCTTCTCTCCTCCTCCTCCTTCTCCTCCTCCTCCTTCTCCCCCTCCCCTCTTTCTCTTCTTCCTTCTTCCTTCCCTCCTTCTTCCCTCCCTCCTCCCTCTCTCCCCATGCCTTCTCACTGTGGCTGTCTCCAGGGGTGGTTAAGAGTCCTTATGGCTTGGTAGATGTAGAAATGCTATAATGTTTGTTGAAGCAAGTTCTCAGCATCTACTATGTGCTATGTTCAAAAAATTTGCTCTTTAGACCAGCGGGAGTTGCCCCTAAGCCAGGATGTCTCATCTATGGAGGCTTGTTTATGGAGTGATTTTACTTTTGTCTTTTTAAGAAGAGCTATAACAAAATACTCTGAAGACTTTCTTAAATTTGGCAACCAGGGACAGCTAGGATAGAGCACCATCCCTGGAGTCAGGAGGACTTGAGTTCAAATCTGACCTCAGACACTTGACACTTATTAGCTGTGTGACCCTGGGCAAGTCACTTAACCCCATTGCCTAGCCTCCCCCCCCAAAATTGACAACCAACTATCAATCAACAAGCATTTGTTAAAATCACCTACTGTGTGCCAGGTACAAGGACAAAAGTGCCCTCAAGGAGCATATATTCTATCAGGGAGATGAGAAATACATCTGTGGGTTTATAGAAATACAAATGCAGGTGATTTGGGTGAGGCTGGAGCAAAATTCTCCTTTTGACAAAGCATCTGAGGATATGGAAGCAGAAAAATGATTATCATTGCAAATAGTGCCCTGGCTGTCCCAGATGGACGGCCAAGGAGGAGGTCAGTCCCTGAATTTAGACTCTTTGGCCAAGGAAGCAGAGACTCTCCTTCTTGGACGTGGAGTCTGAAGTGTGGGCATTTACTTAGAACGGCTGAGGAGACCAGGAGAGCAACTCACCGTTCTGAATGCTTTCCTTCGATTCCTTCCCCTCCCTTCTCCCAGAAGGCCATTTCATAGAACAAAGAATATTTGGGGCTCACATTTATATGGTACTCTAAGGTTTGAAAGGCATGTTACATACATCATGTACCCCTGTAAGGTGGGGGCTGTTATTATGCCCATTTTATAGAGGTGGAAACGAAGGTTCAGAGAGATTGAATGACTTGCCCAGAGTCAAAGTATCTTGAAAGTGACCTATGGCAAGAAGAGCTTGGAGAGGCAAATACTGAAATATCTGAGGGCCATGAAAGCCTGGGATTTACCTGTAGGAACTGAAAAAGCCTCTCTAGCTCCCATTCCTCAGATCTATGGCGTTAAAAGACAACAGGGTGAAAAATTAGAAGTCTTCTTTTTACAGGAAAGTGAGATGGCAGATGTAAAGGTATTTTGTAGCCAATCAAGCAACAAACATTTATTAAACACCTATTATATATGAGGCATCATTCTAATTGCTGGTGTTGAAAAGAAAGGCCAAAGTAGTCCCTGCCCTCCAGGAGCTTACAATTGAAGGGGGGAGACGACGTGCAGATAGCAGTGTGCAAACATAGACAGGTTTGTTGGAGATAATCTCAGAGCGAAGGCGCTGAGATTCAGAAGGACTGGGAAAGGTTTCTTGAGACGTGAAGGGAGGCAGGAGGTAGAGATGAGGAGGGGCAGAGTGCCAGGCATGGAGGCAGCCAGGAAAAATGCCCAGAGCTGAGGGACGGAGTGTCGGGTGAGGAACAGCAAGGAAGCCAGGGTCACTGGATCGAAGGTGTGAGCAGGCTTCATGTTAAGCGGGGTGGGTGGGCGTGGCGCAAACAGGTTGTGGAGGACTTTGGAAGCCAAACAGAGGGTTTTATTTTTTATCCTTACAGTAATAAAGAACCACTGGAGTTTACTGAATAGGCGGTGACAAAGTCAGATCTACATTTTAGGAAGGTCAGGTTGACCACTGTGTCATAGTGGAGCCATATTGGAGGATGGATTGGAGAGAGGGGGAGACTGGAGGCAGGCAGAACCCCCCCCACCCCAGCATTAGCCCAGGTGGAGGGTGATCAGTGCCTGCCCTGGGGGTGGCAGGGTCAGAGGAGAGAAGGGGGCATGCAGGAGAAATGTTATGGAGGCAGAATCAACAGGAACTGATAACTGATTGGAAATGGAGGATGAGAGTGAGGAGTCCAGGATGATACCCAGGTTGGGAGCTTGGGTGACTGGGAGGATGGGGGTGCCCTCCACACTAAGAGAGACATCAGGAAGAGGCGATGTTTGAGGTTTGGGGGGAAAGAGAAAGAGCTGGGTTTTGGATGTACCGATTTAAGATGTCTGTGGGACGTCCGGGTCTAGACATCTGAGAGGCTGTTGGAGTCTCCAGAGTGGAGTCTTAGTGTGGGACAAGGAGATCTGAGAGTCAGCTGCAGAAATGCCAGCTCCCACAGCCCTCTGAATGGTTTGGGTTTGAGTATCCACTCTGGTCTTTCCTTGGAAGCCCAGCTAAGGGCAGCCTTCCTGATCTCCCTCACCCTTGGAATTACTTGGCATCTCCTTTATGGGTATTGCTTATTTACTTGTCTTAGTGATTTTTGTTCCCTCCAAAGGAACTTAAACCCCTGAGGGGCAGGAATTACTCTGTCTATACCAGAGCTTAGCTCAGGACCTGGCACATAGTAGGTACTTCATAAATGCTTATTGATTGATTGATTTCACCTGTTTTTTGTGTTTAACGATAGAGAATAACAACTGGAATGCTTTTGTCTGCTAGTAAAATCTCCCAAATTGTAGTGCATTAAAGAAAACATAAAAAAAAATTTAAAAAAGGGGGGGGGGGGAGAGGCTAGCCTCTTATCTGGAGAGCACATAGCTGTCAGAAGTGAGAAAAAGGTCACAGACCTCAGTGAGCACTGTGGCAGTTGATGTCGGCAGCTTTTGTTTCCTTGAATTTTTGGGGTGAAGCTGCAAAGACCTTGTCTGTGCCTCTGGCGTTTTTGCCCTGTAGTTAAGATTTTCCCTGTCAGTTATTTTGTGGGCATTTAGTGGACTTTGGGCCCTGGGGCTGGACCAGCCATTACACTGGGAGAATTGGAGAGAAAAATAAGTGAATTTCATGGAGGCGAGAATGTTAGTTTCATTCTCCCTGTCTTCTTGAGCCCTCATTTAAAATTAGGATTGTGACCCACCATGTGTGCATAATAATAATAATAATAATAATAATGATAATGATAGTAATAGTAATAGTAATAATGCTAATTGGGAGTCAGTATGGCATAGGGTGCTGGAGTTAGAGGCAAAGGTCCTGAATTCCAACCTATGGGGCTCTATCATTTATTTATCTGGATGACCTTGGAGAAGTCACATAACTTTTCTGCCTGTTGCCTCATCTGCAAAATAAGAGAGTGGAACTTGAAGACCTTCTAGGTCCCTTTTAATTCTAAAGCTGTGATCTGTTGGGTCCTAAAAAAAACAATCACAAGGCAGAAATCATCTCATGTTAATGAGAAGTTTCTTCGTTAATTGTCCCATGCAGTAGCCAGAATGCATCCGTGGCTGCAGGTAGCCCAGGCAAGGGACTCCCAAATTCCCCTAAACGGCCCCAATTTTTATACCTCTGCTCAGACAACTTTGGCTGCTTCTCTTTCCCAGCCAGTGGTCTCCATTTGATATGGTACTGACTCCAGTCCTTCTCCTTAGTCTGGGGACATTCTCTTTTCCAGAAGTCTTCTCTAGTTTACCAGCAACTCTCCTGCTGCCTTCTTCTGCTGTGTAACCTTGTGGATCAGCCTGAATTATTCTCCTTTATTACAGCATTCTGTTATAGTCAGAGGCAAA